GGGGGCTGTCGTTTGAGTGAGCGGCAGACTGCGAGGTAGATGCGGTGCTAGGATCGGGGAAGCAGGCAGAGTGAGGTAATAAACTAGGGTGCTCTTTGGCGTTTCTTGCTGCTCTCGTGATTGTTCTGTGTTTGTGCAAGGCCGACTCGAGATGTTGACTCAGAGCTTCCTCCCCACAGAGCGCGCTCTCGCACGCCAGGCAGTGGTACGAGCCGCCGCCACCACCGCCGCCACCGCTGCCGCCACCACTGCCGCCGCCGCCCGTGGGGACGTGAAGCACCATCTCTTGCAGGTTCACCACAGACTGGCCGAAGAAGCAGAGGGACTTCAGGTGACTCCTTGCCGCCTCCTCGTCACCGAAGCCCGCCTGGCACTTGCGGCAGACCAACTTGTACTGCACCTTTGGAACAATGAAGGGGTCATAGAGGGAGTCCGCACTTTTGCTTTCTGCTTCTGGCTCTTCGGGGGGTTTCGGCAGGAGGGGGGACACCTCACGGGGTGCGTTTTTCTGCTCTTCTGGTTTGGGGGATTCTTTGGCAGGGTCTTTGTCTGGGGAAGCAGCCCCCTGGGGGACTGGGGTTTGGCTTGCTTTGGGCTGCTGCTGCACTTTTTGCTGCTGCTGCTGCTGCTGCAGTTGCCGCTGCTGCTGTTGCTGGATCGCCTCCTGCAGACTCTGCTGGTATTGCTGGTACTGCTGCAGTAGGGAGCCCGGGGACAGCCCCATCAGGGCCTGCGACAGTGCAGGGCTGTAGGGGAACAGGCCTTCCATGCCATACATAGGCTGCAGGTACCCGCTCTGCAGGGCGCCGGGGATCTGGGGGGCATAGTAAGGAGAGAAGCCTGGTACAAAGTAAGGAAGGAACTGGCTCGTGAGCAACGCTGTGGGGTCCGAAGTCAAGGCTGCCTGCAGGGCCTGCAGCTGTGCAGGGTCCACTGCATACTCCATGGCGGGCAGCGGGGCTGAGATCGTGGCTGTGGCCGCTGTGGGGGCCTCTCCTTTCTCCTTCTTGGGGACAGGGAGGGGCTCCCCTTTCCCTTTGTGTGCCTTTTCCTTCTCCTTGACCTTCTCACTGTCTTTGTCCTTGCGCTGCTGTTGCTGCTGTTGGGGTGGGAGCTGTGGTGCAGGTGGTGGCTGGGCTGCGGGCGGCGGCGGCTGCACCTGTAGCTGCTGCTGGGGTTGGGGGGGTTGCTGAGGGGCCATCGCCATGGTGGCTTGTGCTGGGGTCGGGGAGCTCAGCGATGCTGAGGACGGTTTATTTGGTAATCCAGATGTGGGGAGGCCAGGGGAAGGAACTGTTGTGCTGGGCAGACCCATTAAGTTCGGTTTAGGAGACGTTAAAGCTGAAACGAACAGAACCACATGTCAGTCGGGGGTGGTGAGGCTGAAGCTCAAGATGTCTTATTTGTGTCACTGGCACAAAGTCTGAGATCTCAAGGTTTAAATCCTAAAGATCCTCTCAGAACCACCATTTTCAATAGAGGTGTCTCACCTTGTATTCTGATCAGTACCTGACTCTGAGTCAGCTCCCCGATTTTCCCTTTCAGCTAAACAACTTCTAACACCTTCCTACCACAAGTGCCACACCCACTAATTCATATTTTCTTTGGTGAGTTCCCCAAACCAGCTGGTTCCACCTGGGACCCATTTGAACCAAAGGCCTTCATGAAAGCTCCACAGAAATAATATAGCTAAGTGACCACACCAGAAGTTGTACAGAAGAGAGGAAAAGAAGAGAGCAAAAGCAAGAAACCTGGCCCAAGCCCAAAGCCCATGTGAACAAACACATGTTCCTCTCTGACCTCCATTGCTGTAGCAGAATGGGCATGTTAAGAGGGCAAAGAGAAGAGCTATGGGAAGAACTAAAAACAATCCATTTAGGGAAAACGGTCCCATTACCTTGGTTCAGCTACTCTGCTTTAACAAATCTTTTGAAAAATGTAACCATCTATGAATAGGATTCTGGAATTTGCTGGAAAAATGGAGCATGCTGTCTTCGTACTCATTTGAATGGCATGTACAAAGGCTGCAGTTGCTTGAGAAACCAGCCACAGGGAGAGGAGAAAAGCAGTATCAGAAATGGTAGGGCCCAAAATGTTGGTCCCACCGCTTCCTAAGACATGGCAACCTAGCCCTGCTTGTGAGTAGGAAAGGTCTTTGACCATGTCACCAGGCCCACATGGGTTACAGCCCCATCCACAGTCACACTCTACCTGTGAAGCCTTCCCCCAACCCAGAGCCGAATATCCTCCCTCACCCATAGTTCTCTCCTGGTTTGAGTCTGTCTTTTGTTCCAGGGTGATGGAAGACAACACTGCTACTGGTACATCAAGGTGATGGTAGAAGAGGACAGCATTGTGAGGAAGGGAGACCAGATGTGCTGAATGAGGAGATGCTGAGAAGAATTCACAGGCAGTGGACCTCAGATCATTACATTCAGCACACTTCAGAAACTAGACGGTATTCATCCCTTTGTTTCAGAGCATACCACAGGTAAAATTAAACCCAGAGCTCCTCACTATTTCATGGGTGTTCTATAGCACAACATGGGCCTTGTAAGAAAAAAACACACGGAAGTGCACACCTGGGTGAAGACGATGTTGACTTCACAGTGGGGCAGCATGTAAAAACTCTCAAATTTCAGACGAAGAGGACAAGGTTGCCTCAAGCTGTCAATCCCAGAAAAAGATCCATTAATGTTTGGAAAGCCAAGGAAGATGCTTCCCTCAGCTTTGTGGAATAGCATTAATCTATTCTTTCAGAACAGCAGAAAGGGACGACTGAAATTAAGTCATCCAGTTTACTCAATGCACAGAAGGGACTGAAACCAGAGAGAGATGTGTGACTCAGAAAAACCCCGTAAAGGTTCACTGGTTAAACTGGCACAAACAAGATGGAGAGCAAATGGATTATGAAGTCGACAACTTAGGATGCAGCTCTTTCTGTCTACTTACAGGCAACAGGCCTGCTCCAAGTTTTAGGTTGGAGTCAGAGCCAAAAGATCAGCAAGGCAATGCAAAAACAGCTAGAGATTTCCTATCTCTATGGCATCAGGCTTTCAGGAGAAGGATCCAGGTTAGAAAACCTAATGTAACTAATATATCTTGAATAGAAGAGAAAGAATTTTAAGGATCATTTACGGAACGCTTGCTATATTTACCAAGCTCTGCTAAATATTTTCTCAGAATAATTCTGTGGCCTCATTTTTTGCTCATCTGTAAGATTAGAACCAAGCAAGGCCCTTCATCCCCCTGGTACTTGTCACCCAACTCTGGAGTCAAATTGATGCAGTATGGATTATGTTTGACACAGAGCTGCTGTGTGGCCTTACACCAATTAACTGTGCAGAACCTCAGCCTTCTACAATAGATTGTTGTAGGGACTAAATGAAAGGTCATTTGGAAACAGCTTACCATTGGGCCTGACATATAAATACAAGTTTGTTCCCCCATTCCAGATCCAGTGCTCCTGGGAGCTGTGGTACAGTTAGGTGGTGGTAACTGGGACACACCTGGCTGCCTCTAATAATTAACAGCATATTTTTCTATCTTGAGTCCACTCTTAGTGGTCATAACCTGAGCAGCACTAAACATATACCTGTTGACTGACTGGCTCATATTGAGTGTTGTGGAAGGAGCACATAGCACTGGGAGCCTGGAGGCCTGGGTGGGAGCTCTGGCTCCTACCCTAGCTTGCTGAATGGTCTTGACCTCTCTGGCCCTCAGTTTTCTCATCTGTAAAACAAGGGGAATAGATCAGACATTCTGATTCTAATTTTTTTCACATTATTACGAAACGTTGGGCCATCCCAAGCCCTTCTGCCAAGGTCCTAGGCTGCAAGGGTAATTCAGTGCCTAGACACTTCCCATAGCTTGATTCTTGGCTTATGTCTAGTAGGCTTTAGCATAACTCTGCAACATTACTTGCTAACAAACATAAGCAATGAGTTACACATCTTAATGCTTTCACTTTTTCCACCCCTGGGAACAGGGACACGTTTTGAAGGCAAGGAGGCACTCTGAAGGGCTCTCCTTTGGTAAAGGTCCACTGGTCAATGTAGGCCATGGGGGAAACTTGCTGACTTGTGCCTAAGTTTCACAGGATCCTGGAGGTCCAATTTAGGAAAGAGAGCTGGCTCCAGAGAAGACAGGTGAGGACAAAGGAGGAGGAACAAGAGAGGGGCGCAAACTATCAAACTCAATATTAAGGAGAAAAATAAGAGTACCAAGTATATGTGTGAATTAGGGGACTATGGGGAGCAAAGAAAGAGAGATGGGCAAAAGGAAATGAAGGGGTGACTGAAGACCCCTAAAAATGACCATTAATGTTTTTTTTGTCTCTCTGGAAAATTCAGAACCATATTGCCCAATACAGGATTCCTGGCCAGTGCATTCGAGTACAAAGGGAGTCTCATTAGGAACTGATAGAGCCACTGTCGTTCTGGCTAGATAAGAAGACCAGGAGTAAGGATCCATATATAAGAGCTTCTTCCCGATAGCAGTTCTGCCAGAACAGCTCTCTAAAAATGGGCAGGAACCACAGGTAAGGATAAGGACTTGATTTAAATTTTCTTGAACCAGTTTCCAAAGGGCACAATTCAGAATTAGCTAGGATACTCAAATGTCTTCTATTTTCAACAAATATCTACATGGCAGTGGCATTTTCACAAAGACTGACTGGAAGGATTTAGGATGAAAACCTCTTTCTTGAAAATACCTCAGGATTTAGGATGCCAGGACCCTCAAGTTCTTCACTATGGCACACACCCTGGTGGTGCTACTCAACACAGGAAATAAGAATGATTTCAGAGAAGACTGTTCCTACCAGGGGGGGTGGTTCCCATCCCTGAGATTGGGACATCATAGAACCATGTACACCACAGCACTAGGGAGACTCAATGAAGGGGACCAGAAGTTTTGTTGCTGTTAGAGAAGTAGAAAGGGAAGCTTTTTCCTATCTGCCCAACATTCTTAGGATTTGGGTGGTAGCCACAGAACAAAATACTAATGGGGCAGCTATTTAATGCTGTAAGAATCACCTAGAGCAGAACCCACCTGTGTTGGATGGAGTAAAGCCCGGCAAAGAGGGGCTGTTGAGGCTGGGGAGCAACACAGGAGGAATGCCCTGGAGCGTGGGATATGCTGTAGGAAGGTTGAGAGCCTGAAGAGGGGCATTGTCAAACATCCCTTGCTGCTGAGCTGCCAGTCCGAGGACCTCATTGGCCTTTTTAATCCGGTCCAACTCTTGTTGAGCCATCAACTGACGTACAGTGGCTGGGTCAAAGTATTCTTTCTCCTTGTCCAACTGGCTTCCAATGGTGTCTTTAACTTTGGAGATATGCTGTTGGGAAAAGATATGGTCACGTACAGACAGCCTAGCGCTGTACTTGATGCCACACAAAGTGCACTCTGTTTTCGGTCCCTCGTAACTTGTTTGGTTTATACCAAAATGCTTAGCCATGCTTAACTTGGACTTCTTTTCTTTTGCCCGGGCATTCTGGAACCAGACCTGAACAACTCTCTTTGGCAGTCCAATATCATTGCCCAGGACCTCACACTCTAGCATGGTGGGTGTCCTGTAGTCATTAAAGCATGACTTGAGGACTTTGAGCTGCAGATTGGTCATCTGAGTGCGAAAACGTTTCTGCCCTGGCCGATCCCCACTGTCTCCAGATTTGCCTGCTGACCCACTTGCACCAGGACTCGGGGAGCAGGGGTCTGCAAGGCTTGAGGTTTCACTATAGTCCACTGTACCTTCATTGTCATATTCCTTGCTGTAAAAGCTTGGGGCTGGACTGACCAGACCCGATGACAACCGATCTTCATACTCAGACATTGCCATCATGGCCGCTTTGGTCAACCCTTCATTGGGTGCAGAGGAGGATTTGGTTTCAGTTGCTATTCCCGTTGCACTGTCATTATCTGCATTGCCCTCGTCTCCTGTAGTGGTATCTGTGATTGCTGTGTTGACAGAGGAACAGTCGTCATTGTCCAGCTTGGTTTGGTCAAAGTTTAGATTAACTGAGGACATGGAGGGGCTTTCAAAGTCTTCAATCCCTTCCACCTTGATGGAAGAAGGGCTAAGAAGAGTTCTGGGAGATAACTCCATGGTTTTACTCACAGGTGAGAGGGGCACACCTTGGCCATCACTACTGCTTGGGGGTAGGTGGGAAAAGCTGGTTCCATCAAAAATATCTCCTTTCATCTGAAGTCCCCCATCACAGTCTAGGAGCATTGCAGACAGAGTAAGGTTGTAGCCAGCTCTCTTGGCTTCATGCCAATGACGGGACCGGATATGAGCCTCAAGGGCAGTCTTGGCTTTGAAGAGTGCTCTGCAAAAGGGGCATCTCCTATGGGCCTGGGCTGGGCCCACAGCCCGGAACTGTCCTTTCCGTTCCCGGGCTCGGGTATTCTGAAACCAGACTTGTACCACACGTTTCTTTAAGCCCACCTCATGCGCAATGTGATCCAACATCTTTCGAGTTGGATTGGAGTCTAATAGATACTTTTGGTACAGTATTTCTAGCTGTTCTGGTGTAATAGTTGTCCTCAAACGCTTGTCTCTCTGAGGTTCTTCTCCTCCTGTCCCACTGTCATTTTCTCCAGGGCTTGCACTGGCCTTTTCCTCCAGCTTCCTCTTCAGAGTGTTCATTGTGGAGGTCGGAGTTGAAGGAGAAGTGGCCGAGCTGGCTGGAATCTGAGGTATGGCCCCAGAGAGCAGCTGGCTTGCCAGGAGTGGGTTACTAGGGTCAAACAGCATGAAAGGCATATCCAGTGACCTGTCCAAAAACTGGGGGTGGATGAACTGATTCTGTGCACTCAGAAAATGAAGCTGCTGATGCTCCTGCCAGTGCTCAAATGATGGAAATGCCAACTTACATTGGTCACACTGGTAGGGGATTAGCTGAGGAGGTAGGTTTGCCAACTGTTGAGGAGTCGACGTGTGGAGGGGCTTGAGGGGCAGGTGGGAGAGCTGGGAAGGACTGGGGCTTGACTGGGGTAAGGGGCACTGAGGTGGGGGTGCTTGTGGAGGAGGCTGTGGCAACGCAGCAGGGGAAGTGAGCTGTGGGAGCTTTTGCTGGGCTGTGTTTGTCTTCTGCTCAGGCTGGTCTTGCTGCTGCAGCTCTGCCTTTGGTTGTCCTTGCTTTTCTTGGGTTTGGTTTGGCTGTGCACTGGGAGGTTCAGCCTGCTTTGGTTTCTCATCACTCGCCTCTGTTTTTGAACTAAAAGTGGCCAGTTCGTCAGCCTCTGCCGTGAGCTGTAAGAAAGCAGAGGAAGCTGTGTTGGCCGATGATGCTGGGGCGCTGTATGCCTGTGAGGGCATTGGGGTGCTGCAGGAGGAGCTGGTGGGTGTCAGGATTTCCATGGCATCCATGGAATCCTCATTTTGGCTGTCATCCTGCCCCTCCTCATCCTCATCTTTGTAACACAGCTTCTTCTGATGCTTGATGAGATCAAAGATGCGCTGAAACACCAGGCTACATTTTTTGCACTGGTAGTTCAAGTTGCTTGTTCGAATATACCTATCGTTTGTAAGCTCGCGCCGCTCTCCATCTTTGCCCTCCCCCTGATTCTCATAATTTTTCCTGGCCTTCTGTCGGGCATTTTGAAACCACACCACTATGACTCGGGTTGGAAGGTTCAGTAAATTAGAGAGTTGCTCAAATTCATCATCCTTTGGGTAAGCATTGGCATCAAAGAAATCCTGTAGGACTCTCAGTTGGTAATCTGTAAACCTTGTTCTTGAAGACCTCTTGCTTCCCCAGTACTCCTGCTTCTGCGGTTCCGGAGAAGGGGGCCGGGAGTCAATCTTGAGCTCCTCCAGGCTCGTGATAGGAGGATTGCTAAAGTTGTAAGGGGA